AGCGGCCTGCAGCGCAGGCTGCTTAGCGCGCTTGGGGTCAGCCGGGGCGTCGGGGGCGCCCCCTGCAGGATTGGGGGAGGGGAGGCAAACGAGAATATTAGCGAATTGGAACTTGTTGCATGGGTCGCGATGTCGTTGGGCAGACATGGATCGGCAGATGGATTCAAAGTGAAAATTCATTTTTTTCTTATAAAACAAAGGCCTTGTAAATGTTTGAAAATTCTCTTCCTCTTGGGCAGGTTTGTGACCTTGCCTTCCCGCCACAAGGAGATCGCTTTAGCAAGGGGCGTCCATCGTCACCAAGGGGCTGAACTTGTCGGTTCACCTGGGGTCAGGTGGAAGCAAGGTACAGGAGTTCTCCAGAGTGAAAGTAACCCCCCTTGGGGGGTGCGGTGGGATAAAGTCCAGGAGGCCAAAGTGGAGCCGGACTAGGCGTCACCGGCAGTGTCTCGGGCCTGTCGTGCCCAGGCAGGGCCTGGATCTCTTCCAGAAGAGGACATACTGTCTGCCAATGTGTATTTCTCATTGGAAAGTGAAAGACAATGTAAACCAAAATAACAGAGTAAATTTTCTTCTTTTACCATTCTTAAAAATTGTGTGCTAATACATGTACATTCGGGAAACAAATAACAGACTGATACACCTTTCCCAAGTTGGTAGAAAACCAAAAATTTCTAAGAACTGAAACATTTTGGGGTTGTCCACAATGTCCAGTGTCAGTAGTGGGAATTTAGCCCAAGGCCTTTGCACTGAGCTACATTATCCACCCTACTCTTTTTTTTTTTTTTAATTTTGAAGCAGTCTCCCTAAATTGCCCACCCTAGGCTTGAATTTATAATCCTTCTGCCTCCACCTGCCAAGAGTATTGGGATTACAGGCATGTGCCGCCATGCCTAGCTGTCCAGCATATTCTTTTATATAATAAAAACTACTGTTTTGCTTTCAGAGAGATAGGGTTTGGTTTTTTTTCTCCATTAAGTGCAATTTAAAGCAAACAATACAGTTACATTAATCATTGGAGTCTTGTACCTTTACATGGTATGTCTTGGTTTTTTTCATATCCCTGCCCTCCCTTCACCCCTTTCACCCTTCCCTATTTACAAAGACTTTGTTTCCATTTTTTCTTTTCCCTTATTTCCTTTCCCTTCACCTTCCCACTTTCCTTTTAGCCATTTTCTTGAGATAGGATTTTTTTAAAAAAGATAGCCCTTTTGAGGGCTATATTCTATTAGAAGAAAAAATATGAAAAGTTACATAACCAAAATAATGTGAATGACTGAAAAATATGTGGATGTCAAAAGAATATATATGTATTTGAAATGGAAAGATCTGGTAAAGTACTTGGAACTCAGTGCTCAGCTGATTTTTGCCTTGTGAGAATTTGAGTCTCTCTTACAAAGAGCTCCTGGGGTTTTTTGCAACATGGGCCAAAAAGTTGTATTTTATGTGATTTTAATTTATTTTTTAACATAATCAATAAACAGTAGAGTTGATATCCTCCATGGACAGGTATATGTGTTTGTGATCTGTACAGATTATCACATAAATCAATATTCAGGTATAAATCAGTATTCAGGTATAATTCAACTAAGAGGATGGAAGAAATCCTGAAGACTAGGATCATCAGGAAAGACTTTCAGAAAACAGGGGAATTTAAACTAGGTAGGATAGGAAAGGTGTTGTAGAGGAGAGGGATACAACAGGTGAGTAATGTCTTCGAGTTGAAAAAGTAAGCTCCAGATTTGGAAGATAAGTAAATTTTCCTAGAGGTTTGGAAAAGTGAGTGCAAGAAAATAATTTTGGAGAAACTATATTGCTGGGTAAAGAAGTCTAGACTTTGTTCCTAGGACAGTGACTCTCAAACTGGACCATAGGTCACAAGGCTTAGGAAAGCATCATTGGGCCCACGTCACTTCCACAATTTCTGATTGAGAAGGTCTGAGAATTTCCCATTTTTATCAGTTCTCAGGTGCTGCTGGTCTGGAGATGACACTTTTAAGAACTGTCCTAGGGTATGGGTGATTACTGAGGAGTCTGAGGAGAGTAAGGAGACCACATTCATATTTCAACATGAGTCCTGCTGTGAAGTCCAAGAGGAAAACAGAGAACAAGAGAAGAGCAGTGTTCCCTAAAGTTAATTAGCGCCTGCTTGCTGCCAGGTCTTGTTCCAGGCACACACTCATTTCATACTCACTGTGATACTTCTGTAGGTCTGAATGTTTTCATTTTGCATAAGGAAGAAATTGTGAGACTATGAGAGTTTACCCAGGACCATGGCTGTTCTCAGAGCCCATTAAGGCTGAGCAGATTTGAACTAGGGCAGTAGCAGTGAGAATGAATCAGAACACTTAATGGAGATGGCATATAGGAAAATAGGAGACTTCCTTTGCAAATTGAAACTTAAACATAGAATTGGGTAATCTGAGTCTTAATGGAAATGCGAGGAAAGGTGAAGTGCACAGAGAACTTTAGAGAGTTCCTGCGTGAATTGAGTCTTTGTTCTGTACTACTCTTATGTAATAAGCACTACTTAAAAGTTGCTTATTTAAAAAATTATCCTGTTCTACAAAAACTTCCTGAAAGTGTTTGGAGTGGAGACAGTAAAGCCTTTGTAGGGGTGGCGGGGGATGGTGAACCGATTCATGGCCTCTGACAGCTCATCTTCAAATAAAAAGTGATCAGCATTGAGAAGAGGAAGCACAGGCAAGTGCACTGAATGGCCTGTGTGAATTGTTCTGCACTGCAGATACTGACCTAATGCATTGATTTTGGAAATCCTGTGCGCTGCTTCTTGCCAGAGTGGTTATTGAAATTGAGAATATTCATTGGATCAATTTCCAGACAAATATCCCAACTCAGACAGGCTGCTGTGAGCAAATTTTTAATGAAGAAAACCATCCAGCTATTGAAATCAGACTTTAAAAACATCACTAATTATATATGTACTGTAAAATCTAGAAAGATGTGTTTTCAAAAATTGCAGAAATCAGTGTAATGGCATTTGTAGGCTCATTTGAAATTGTAACAAATGTTCGTTTCTTCTCTGAGCAATAAAGTGTTCTGTAGATACAAAGATAGTCATAATTTGGGAGAGACTGCCATCCTGAAAAATGACCACAGTGGAGCGTGTTGAGCAGCGTGAGACAGAGATGTGGTTAGCACATGATGGCATGAGACAGGAGAGAACTGCAGGGGCTAGGAGAGGAAGCCAGGGAACTCTCGAGGAGACACTTGAAGGCTGAGAAGGGATTTGTGAGATGACCAAGGGAGAGAAGGACGTGGGTGACAGCCACAACACGTGAGAGTGTAGCTTCTCTGAGAGCTGTGTGCAGGTGAGACTAGTTACAGCCACATGTTAGAAGTGGAAGAGGGGAAGAAAGAAGTTTGATGAACAAAAGCATTCATAAAGAGTATGTGGTGCTTTCATAATGACTGGTTTGGATGGATTGTAAATTTCATGGTATCAGGAATCCAGTGTGACTTGTGTTTCAGTGCATTCCAGGGCCTACCACACTGCCTTGCGTACTGTGAGTTCTCTATAAATAGTTACTGAGTGAATGAATGGCTGAGTCATAGGAGAACATTCTTTTTCTTTTCAGTGAAGGCAGAGGGAACCTCTTAATGTGTTTTAAGCAGAGGAGTGATATGAGTATGAGGATAAGTGACAGTGTAGAAAATGAGTTAACAGTGGTCATAAAAATGGCTGTAATAGATGGGAGTTTTTCAGGCTTACAATTGTACCACTTGGTGAGTTCGAATCTTCACTTGAAAAAATAGAAAAAAAAACCAATATTAGAGTATATCACACATAATAGGGTAAAATAATTGTTTGATGAAACTCGTGTCATTTAATGTGTGTTAATTGATGCAAACATATTTTTTCCTATAGAATGTTTAAAAGCCCATGAAACAACATGGGAGTGTCTGTGAAGAGGGAGGAATGGATATAAAAGATATTGTTGAAAAAACACAAATGTGAATTTTAAATCACTGTTCATTACATGGACACTTACATTGAAATGCTACTGTCCATGTGAATCTTTTTGCAGAGGAAGATGTGTTAGTCAGCTTTCTGTTACTATAACAAAATACCTAATATAACAACTTAAAAAGGCAGGTTTAATTTGGCTCATAGTTCTGGGGGCTTCAGTCCATGACTGGTTGGCCTTGTTGCTTCGGCTCTGTGTTGGCACAGTGTATTATGGCAGGAGAGCTACCCACTTCATGGTGAACTGGAATGAAAGAAGAAGTATGGGTTGGTGTCCTTGTAACCCCTTCGGGGCACACCACCAGTTACCTAACTTCCTCCCTCTAGGCCCCACCTCTTAAAGGTTCCATCACTTTCCCTGTACAATCATGGGCTGGGTACCAGACCTTTAACACATTCCCCTTTAAGGACATTGAAGATCTAGACCTTTGGGGGACATTTAAGAAGAAGATGCACTTACCAGCCCGTTTCAGTATTTTTTCCTACTTCATGGTTTTTGTTATATACTAATAAACTGACATTCTAGTTTACTAGACACAGCAGTGCTTTGAGGTATCTTACTGAATGTTGTAAATGCTGCAGAATTTCTCATCTGTCTTCATAGTGCTTATCCTGTGAAGTGTAGGCTGAGACCATGCTCTCAGGAATCATGAAAGTTAATTGGAAGTTTGATTTAATTATTGGCCAACTTCTTTGATTTCTCTCCATCAGAAAACAGGAAAAGATGCTTAGTTAAACGAGCAGGTCCCTGTCAACACGGTTTTGTAAATATTTTCCTCTTCTGGCTGTGATATGTACATAAGGGTAGAATGCTGCTCATAAGGCTGAATTGAACTGACTGATTAAAAATTTATGGGCTCCTATAAAATCAGTTCAGTTGGATACATTAATGGGGTTGAGTATATTATGAATTTAGTTATCAGGTGTGAAAATTCTATAGCATGAAAAGCATTTAAAATGTTTAAAAGTCTGTTCTGTCACAACACATTATTGATATTTTTAATCATATAAGTAAGCAGTACAGTATTGGTATTGCCTACTCTCAAAGGTTTATACACGAAATATAAATTAATTTTTTTAAATTTTGGCCTAAGCAAAATAGTTTTCAAATGAATAGCCATCATCATACCACATTCAAATATTAAGGATTATTTTATGTTCTATCAAGTTAATACTATAGAGATATGGATTTATGAGGTCCAGTTTTTCCCAGGTTATTCCTCTAGTTGTGAGACCTTTGTCATTCAGCCTGACCTTGGTCAATCAACCTAGCATTGCTGAGCGTCCTCATCTGTAAAATAGGATCTCCTTCACTGTGCGATTATTGTGTGGATTAGCTGAGAAGATGCATGCTCAACACCTCACACATAGTCAATAGCAAAAGATAGCCGCTTCTGTGTGCTGTTCCCATGCACTAAGAAAATCAGTCTCCAGGAAGAGTTTTGATTTTGAAAAATCTAGAATTTTATATATATATATACCTAGAGAGCTCTTTCAGTCTAGGGAAAAGAGGGGGAGGTGGTAAATGTTGTCACTGTTTTCCTGGTTCTTTGTTTTTACTTAAAGACTTTTTAAGATTTTCCTTGACATCAAAAGGTGGAGGACTTTGCCTGCAGAATAAACCTTAGGCTTGGCAGATGGTGTGGATTTTCTAAGACCAGTGTGATTAAATTGTTGTGCAAGACTATTATGTTAGATTTATCCACAATTTTATTAGGCAATTTTTATTCATCTCATTTAGGAAGCGTTAATTTGCTTGCATTATTATAAATAGATCTGGATCTCCCTCCCTCCCTTCCTCCCTTCCTTTCCCCTTTCCTCCCCTCCCCTCCCCTCCCCTTCTCTCTCAGCAGTTATGGGGATAGAACCCAGGGCCTTGACCATGCTAAGCAGATTCTCTACCACTGACCTACACCCCCAGCCCCTAAATGGACATATTTTCATCAAATAATATTCTTGCTGCTTGGTTTTGATTATTTACAAAGTTATCTTTCTGGTTTTCTTTAAGATGTTAAAGATGACTTGATTCAAAACGAGGAACTCAGAAGGCAAGGCAGAATGATTTTAGTAAAGGACCTCAGACCCCACAGATTAGTATTGTTACTGGACTCTGCAGTAGGGCAGCTACAGCATTTGCTCATGAAAGAAAAATCCTTGAGAGCTTACCTTGTGGTAAAGCACTGTGCTAGATTCAGAGGAAATAAAGAATAAAATACTGTCCTTTCTCTGCAAGGATCATCATGAAGGTGAAGGATGAAAATTGATGGGGAGAGGTCTATATATAAATTTGAAAACAGGAAGATAAATACTGTGCTTGCGAGGTGAACAGAAACTGTGGAACACTGACTAGAACAACTTAACTGCTGGAAAAGTCCAGAAACAGGCTGCATCTTGGAGGAGGTCTTAACTGAACTGAATAGATGTCAGGCAAAGAGTAGATAATATGTATTCTAGACTTTTAAGCTTATGAGGACATACATTTTTTAAAAACTTAACCGTTCTCAAAATTAGTTACTAGCACATGTACCTCAGTTATTTGAGAGAACCAATTTAACTTCAAATCTTAATGTGATTCTGATTAGAAAGTCTTCATGCATAGAAGCATAGTCAAAACTTGATTACCACTTTTTCACCTTGTACGTAATTCTTTTTACTAGGTTTTTAGGAATATGTGCTGGCTTTATGTGTAATTAGAAATCGACACATTTCGATTATCATTGTCATCCAGTGCTGGGCTACTAGGTGACACACAGTAAATGCTCAAGTATTTGCTGAGTGGATGCTGTATAATCTGTTTGGAGGTGGGATCTCTCTCCCCTTCTCAAAATACTACTTTGGGCTTGTTTGGTAACAAGAGGGAGTCGTGCTAAGACTTATTAATTAAAGGATGCATTTTAAATAGTTTTAATTTGTTATTAGACTACGTATGACAACATCTCCCTGTAGGACAACAGGCCTAGATATGGTAGTAAGAATGTTCTGTGTCCTGACAGTATTTCCTCATTCTCTGTTTTTTAGCTCCTCATACCAACCGAAAATGGTTCTTGTTCACTTTGGAAGATGGGCAGAGTTACTAATATGTATTTCCCTTTTAGCCAAAGGTTCTCATTCCCTCTCCCTCTTCCTCTCTCTCTCTCTCTGTTCCCTCCCCCAAACCCTTCCCCTCTTTCCCTCTAAACTCAATTTATTAAGAAGAAATGCCATACAGAGACAAAAGGCCTGGTCCTGCCACTGCCTATGGCTGTACTCATTCTTTCTTGGTTTTCCTTTCTGTTAATTGAAATTAATAGCAGTCATATTGCCCTCATGGAATGGGAGGATAAGGTGAAATAAAGTATCTGAAAGTGGTTTATAAACTCTGTAAAACTCCAGGCAAATAGAAAATGAAATAAGTTCAAATCAGCAGCGGGTTGTTTTTGTTGTTGTTGTTGTTGTTTTGTTTTTCAAGCAAATGCAGTTCTCCAGGCTCCATATCAAGCCCGGAACATTCTAACGGGGATGAGAAGGTCTTGAATCTGCATTCTTTCCATCCCTTCATGCCTTGCCTGAGTCCAAGTCCTCCTCATCTCCTTTGCTTCCTTGCTAGGGGTCCTTGCTAGGACTTCCTAAACTGGGCTCCTGTTTTGCCTGGGTCTGGTCACTGAGCCTCTCCCACTACTCCTAGACTTATATCTCAAACAAAGCTGATTGTTTGACCTCCACAAAGATCTGTGTGTCCCACAGACAGAAGCTTATTTATATTCTGGTCCAGCTTCATCCCCATCACCATTTCTATTACTCATGTCTTCTGCCTCACAATTTTTTTTCACTTTTCTCTACTATGACAAGGAAGAGTCTTAAGTTCCTACTCTGAGTTTTCATCCCTTCTCAGTTTGTGTTCTTTCAAACTCAGCCCTGACATTGACTCCTCTGTGCCGTGAACTCTCCCTGGAGCATTAGCTCCTGTAACCTTGTCTGTGCCCACAGAGATATGGTTCTTCCTTTAGGCTTCGTATACTTTATTCTGTGAGCTCTGGAAGTACAGTACTGGAATTATGTTGTTTGAGATGGGGTAATAGAGCATCCCATGTAAGAAGATGGAGTGGATTGAATGGTGGCCTCCAAAACCATATGTCCATGTCTAATGCCTGGAACTGTGAATGTGGCCTGATTTGGAAAGAGTTTGTTTTTTTGTTTTTTTTCCGGGGATTGAACTTGGGTCCTTGAGCTTGCAAGGCAGGCCACCGAACCGCTGAGCTAAATCCCCGGCGCTGGAAAGAGTTTTTTGATGGCATTCAGTGGCTAATTCTATCATGATATTTGATAATTTGTTACAGCAGACCTAGGGAACACAAGGTTACAAGGTAAAATGGCTGGAACGTTAATCCACTGTAATTACCCTCAATACAATTGCTTTTATTCTTATCTCCTATCTCAGGATCTGGTAAACAGTGTGTGTTCAGAAAATAATAGTTGAATAAAAACACAGGTTTTGCCTATGCACTTCTAGACTTAATGGGTGGTGGTGATATTGATGAGAATTGTGTCCAAAGGTGGTATTGAAAAAGACCTTCGAAGATAGATCCCCTCTTAAGTTTTAAAAGTGACTTTTTGTGTTTATATGAAGGCACTAGTAGATGTTTTAATTTTTTTGAAAAATATTTGTGTATTTTAACTAAATTATCCTTTTAGAGTAAGACTAAGTTTGTACAAATAGAAATTATAATGACTCCCTCAAAATACAAAAAGAATATTGTCTTTGGAAAATTGAAGAGCAGTTATAGTTTTACCAATTAAAATAAATTACATCTTCATTGTCTTTAATAGAATGTTTATTAGCCAACATTAATTTTATACTTGGTTTTGAAGTACCACTTAGAGAAGTACCTTCATGCAATAAAGTAATGTATTTCAGTGTGCCACAGGGTACAGGGAAACCAAAATTTACAAATAATCAGAAACCCAAACTGGGTAGGTTTTATGTATCTGTGTATAAATCTCAGCTTGCCAGTGGAAGTTAAGTCTGTGACCTGATTATTACTAATGCCATGTAAATTGGTATTACAACAATAAAAGCTAATGTTAACTGAGCTCTCACTCTGGACTAGGCACTGCTCTGGGCTTTTTGCATGAATTAAGTTGTTTTGTTTTCACCATCAGCAGTTACCCAGTTCTCTTACCAGTCCTCTTTACTCAAGAGAAAGTTGAAGCGCAAAGTGATTAAGCCAATTGCCCAAGGACATGATAGTTTAAGTCTTACCGCAGAGACTGAGTAGCAGGGTTCCTAACCTCTGCTCTCCCATAACCCAGTACTGCAACGCAGCTTATTTGTTATCTAACACAGTTTGAAGTTGCACTGGGTAAAGGGTCCTCATCCAATTCCATAGTGGTTCAAACCTGAATGTGCTTCCCTACAGATTCTGACAGGTGGGGCTGGAAACATGCGTGCTTCATAAGCACAGTCTGGTTCTGAGCATACTCGGAGGTAACACTTCACAGTAAGGCGTATTGCTGTTGATTGGGTGCTTCAGCCAGATCATTCAGGACGAGTCTATTCAGGATATATGTATCTAAGCCTGTGCCTCCATCGCCACCCTGCTAATCACATTTCTTTTGTAGTGAATGAATGAATGAAAGGCCAGCCTTCAAGGGATTCTTTTCAAAGAAACCTTTTCAGAATTGGGTGTGTTGAGCAGAGGAAATTGTGAAGACGAATATAAGAAAAAGCACAACAGAAAATATGTACCCTAATGAGGTTTTGGTATATTTGGTTTTTGTTTATAAGGACATTTTAATGTACATTTCACTTCACAAAAGAATAACAGTTTTGTGATTTGGGTTACTCTTAATATCAACTGTGGCCAAGGAAGGAATCTTCTCTTTTAAATTTAGTAAGAAAATTCATTCATTTGTGTGGCCAAGAACTTTGATTATGTGTCTTCTAGAATATGAGAAAACGCTATGCTTTCCATTTCACTGCTTTGGAATTGTAGTAGTCCATTGAACTGAAAAAATAATGTTTTTCTTTCTTCTAGGGAGGTCACAAGTCACACTGAGTCCAAAAACACCCAGGGTTTTCTTCATTTGCAAACAAAATGAATATTCCCATGTTGCTGCTGCGTCCTCACCAGCATTTCCTAAAAGGCCTTTTCAGGATACCCTTCCATCATTACCACTTCCTGTTTCATGCAAGTACTCATCTCGGATCAGGGATCCTGTGTGCTCAGCCATTTAAGTCTCTTGGACTCCATTGTGCAAAATGGATGCTGCCGCCAAATGGTTTAAGGAGAAAATTTTGTGTCCAAGCAACCTTTCAGGACCACACAGAAGGACTTTCTGATAAAGAACAAAGATTTGTAGATAAACTTTATATTGGTTTAATCCGAGGGCAAAGGGCCTGCTTAGCGGAGGCCATAACTCTCGTAGAATCAACTCACAACAGGAAAAAGGAATTAGCCCAGGTGCTTCTTCAGAAAGTATTAAGCCACCACCGAGAACAAGAGCAGCGAAATAAAGGAAAGCCACTAGCATTTCGAGTGGGTCAGTTCTTTTCTTCTTTTAATTCAGTAAATATTTTTCTAAATTCTCTCTGCTTTCAGAATAATCCTAAATAATTTGCAATCTAATTTTTTTTCCTAGGGGGATGGGTTTTGAATGCCATCATTTTTGCAAATACTAACCTTGATACATTGAAAAAATTGCCATGCCTGTTTGAACCAAGAATAGAAATATTCACAAGAACTATTAACCGGTTTACTCCTTTATTTCAATAGTCGTTCTGTTGAGTAGTCAGATTGAATTCCTGTTTTTGTAGTAGTATATCAAAACTATAATTATCCTAATCCCATTTTAACATTGAATTTCTTTGCCATTTTCTTAGTCTTTCTAAGGGCAAGTAATTTAAATATGTTTGGCCAGCAGGAATTCAGCAAGGCAGTTTTGAGTGGAATATGAGCATCCCATGATGGTGAACCGGGTTATCTGACTTGAAATGCTGGTTGAAGTACAGAAATTTTATGGGAAATGAGTAAATACTTGTAAAAATGGACATTGCGATACACTTTTATATCATAGCTTATTGCCAACGTAGGGACTCAAACCTCCTGTTTTTTAGAGTAATGCATATAAATGATTTAAAGGTAATTTCAAAACTACCTCATCAACACATATTTATGCCAGTCCACATTTGTTAGACTTCTTGGTCTCCCACCCTCATTGAGTATGACATAGGGTGTTAGTAATCTTTATGTGCCACAGGCAGAGAAAATAGCAGATTTCCAAAGAGAAAACCCCAGTTATGATGAAATATCTCCTCACTCGGTTTTAGAGAATCCTGGAAGAGAAAATGTCCCTGAAATGACTGGGGTTAACTTAGCAGTGCACACGTAACTATAGTACCATTGTGGTTCTTCCAGCCTGCTCTTATGAGGCCAGACAAACCTGTGTCTTTATTGTAGTCATTTTATCACCATTATAAGTAGAAGCAACAAATGATTTTTTAGCACCTATAAAGGAATTTAAGACAGCAGTTTTCCCTGAGAATTGTAGTAAGGAGCAAAAAGCATGCCATATACTTTATCTACTTTTGAATATAGGTAAGTACCTGTATTTTATACATTTTTTTGAATTACATGTACATGTTTCTTGTGCCATACATTTTTGTGCCACACCCTGTTCTAAACATATTGCAAACATTAATTCATCTAATTCTTAAAAGAACTTGTGTGGAGAATGCTGAGGCACAGAAGATTAAGTAACTTGGCTAAGGTCATAGAGCTCATAAGAGGTAGAACTGGATGAAGAATCTGCTGACTGGGCCAGGGATTTAGCTCAGTGGTTCTGCCACCTGCCAATCCAAGTTCAATCTCCAGTACCAAAAAAAAAACAACCAACAACAATAAGAAACTGGCCCCAGGGTTTGCTCTTTTACCTGCTGTGCCTGGCTTTCCAGGTAGGGCACTTTTCTGCCTTTCTTACCACAAATTAGTTTTTTTCAAGATTTTGAAAAATATCTATATAAATGAGTCTTGGCGTTCTGAGTGAGATAAAGAACAAAATGATCCTTTATAAGTAGAAAATTACTCAATCACTGGGAATGTTTAGAGTAATGAGTTGTTTTTCCAATGGGCAGTTAAAGTAGACAGAATTGGGGCAGGTAAAATAATTACCCATCATGATGAGAGTTGGTCAGATGTAAAATTCAGCACATTAAAATATAGGCAGTGAAATGTGACCAAAAAGATCTACAATGCAGCAAAAAAGCACAGCACATTTAAAAAAATTTTTTTTGGATACTGGGGATCGAACTACATTTTTTAATTTTTAAAAATTAAATTTGTAAATACAATCTCAGAATTCTTTCCTTTCTTTCTCTGCATCACTCAGAAATAAAAGATGGATTTTCATTTATTGCTTTAAGACATGTTAAAATACATTGATGGTTTTTTTTTAATAAATTAAGGGAAGTAGAAAATAGTTTAATGTATTATTCAGCAAAACGGGTCATAGAGCCGAGTTCATTTATTCCATTAAATTAGAAGGTCTCTTTTCACTGTAGGATTGTCTGGGCCCCCTGGTGCTGGAAAATCAACATTTATAGAGTATTTTGGAAAAATGCTTACTGAGAGAGGGCACAAATTATCTGTGCTAGCCGTGGACCCTTCTTCCTGCACTACTGGTGGTGAGTGTGGCTAATTCTTTTTTAATTGCAGAGCTTTTACATGTTCCATGTAACAGTTTAGAGGAAATTTGCACAGTTGGGTCAGTTTGGCTGGTTGAGTTTGGTCTTCCTGAAAGCAGGGAGTTCTCCCAGGTGAGTAGTTGGGGAGCAGTGAACTCTACAGGGGAAGGTGCTTGTGGGTTGCTCCATGGGTAGAGAACTGGGAAAACAGGTGCCAGAAGTTGAAGATGATCAAAGGCAGATTGTATGTGCCATTCAGAAACTGTTCCTTATTCATTATTTTCCTCATGTTGTAGTATCTCTTCTCCTACCTTTAAAAAAACCCTGCTGCTGTTTACAGCTTGTCACCTGTTTATATTATATGTCTAGTGAAACAGAAAGCTCTGAGAGGGACCATGTAATAAATTGCTGTTCCCCCTACAGCACTTAGCAGAGTGCAATGTACACTGCATGGTGTTCCGCAATTACTTACTGATTTGAGGTCGTGCAATCACTCAAGCTTAATTTGCAGCTCATCAGAGATAAAATGAATATAAACTTAGTTTCCCTAAGGATCATTTTAAGAAAACATAAAGCATGCTATATGGACACTCAGGTTTTTCTTCTCTTACCCTTCTGTATGATTTAAGCTTCTCATATTATAGTTATTCATTCACTTATCAAATATTGAGTGCCTTCTCTGGGTGAGGTATTATACACACAAGGTACAGTGTTGTAAAATGATGAATAAGATAGTGCTCTTGGCCTTATGGGGCCTTACTTCTTATGAGGGAAGCAGAGGAATAAACATAAGCATTTCAGTGTAGCATGTGTTGTGAAGGAAGGAAATGCAGGAAGCTGTGTTTGTTTGCTTACTGTGGTATTCTGCAGGATGGAACTATTTTATGGGCCTTAGGTCAGTAGAGAGAAATTAGCATTCACTGAGAAATCTAGCTTGTAGCCTTCAAAAGTTTTTGATTCACTATAATAATAAGTTAACGAAATCGAATTTATACTCATAAGGTTCAAGACCAAATTCATGCCAAGGAGTTCTCTAATTTAATTTTTATAGTTTAAGAACTTTGTTAAAGGTAAATGCTTTAATGAAGGATTTTTAAAATGTGATCCTCATTTTTCACATAGGTAGGTGGAAAAGGCATCCCCCCCTTCATGGTATTTTAGAATATTTGCATTAGAAAAAGAAAATAATAGCTTGAGGGGCAGTAATTGATAGCCAGATGAGATTATAAAACAGTCTATGATTAAAGTTGCTTACTGCATGGTTCCTGTTCTTTCTCAAGCCAGAAGTGATTTAAAAAATAGGTAGGCTTTGAAAGAAAAATATACATGAAGATAAACAGGACACTCTAAATATAAATTTCTACCATATGCATTACACACATTTGACAAAAAGCACTAAATGAAAGTTTGAGGAGCATTCATTTTTTTGAAACCTCCCTAAGGGACTGCAACTAAGTTTTGGATTCTCTAGCAGAGACAATTATATGGGAGAGTAATTTCCTAATGTGTGGTTCAACGTGGTAGCATCTCTAGGATAATAATTGAAAGTACAGCTTTGGCAGATTGTGGACTTCCACAGAGATGATTTCATGCAGAAAATTACTTGCATAAAAAGTTTTGTGAAATTAAAAAAAGCAGTCGAAGTACAAGGTTGATGTGAGCTGTTGAAGTGGAACTTGTGAGTAGACTCTGAAGTACAGAGAAAAGAGCATGACTTTAAGGAACTTTTCAATCCTTAGCAGCAGCTTCTTTCGGAAAAGTGGCATAGTGAAAATAAATATTCAAGCTGTAATAGCACCACGCCTTCTCATGTAATTATATGGCTAAAGGAAAGTAGGAAAAGGTAGGATTAGTACCAGAGCTGTGATTCTTCTAGAATTTGCAGGTGTTCATGTTTGCCAAAATACTGCAATAATGAACAACTATAGCCAGTTCCATTCCATGGTTGAATGCCCACTGTGAATGGTTTTATAGCATTCCATGTGCAGTGTCTAGAAGATAGGGTCCTATAGATAAAGAGACTTATTTCAAAGCATGATTTCTAAACCTTGATGCTAGTAACATTTGGGACCAGATATTTCTTTGTTGTGTGTGGCTGTCCTGTAAACTGAAGATGCTTAGCAGCATCCCTGCCCTCTAATCAATAGGTGCCAGTGGCATCCAACCTCACGGGTGACAGGTAAATATGTCTCTAGACATTGCCAGATTTCCTAGAAAGAGGAGGAAAATTTGCACCTGCTTGACAGTCACTGTGTGAAATAAATGAAAAATGCAGACACGAAACCCGAAAGTATATTGTTTGAGTATTGTTGTATCCATTCATGTGGCTTGCTTTGCATAGGCTCCAAAATTGCTAGCTAGTAAAGTATTGGAAGCAGCAGGCTAGGTGGAAGGGTGGCTTAAAGGTGCATTTGCATAGCTTTACTTAAGGCTGAGCAAAGGTCATTTGTACAAATAAAAGAATGGGGAGTAAAGACAGTATTAACAGAAAGGGGAGAGATAGCAAAGTTGTCTTCTGCCCTCCAGGATACTGGCAGATTCCATAGCACTTACTGCACTGCAGAAATCCACAGAGATGAGCATGAGATGAGAAACTTCCAGAAAGATCATATGAAGGAGTGAGGACTTCAACTGAGCTTTGTAAGACAGATAAATTCTGTGTTTTTGTCATTCACAGGCTGTGAAGTACACAATCTATTTCTAGTATATAATTACATTTGAATCTCATCGTGGCTCAGTATTCTCGTTCTGTGGCTAAGGAAAGGAGGGTTTCAAGAAAGGTAAAGTGACCTCCCAAACTGAATAGCCAGGAATGGTGGAACCAGGATGTAAAGTGTGGGCTTCAGACTTGGAAGATTAGCATTGAGAAGACAGAAGCGATATCTCTAGTTTTAAGAATGAGGAGAAGGGAAGGACGTAAGCACACCAGTGTTAAGATAGCGGTAAAGGAGCCACTTGGGATGAATTGGAGAATTGGTTTGGGATGGGCAGAAGTTAAACTTGGACAGGTAAGGTGGGGCTGGGTTTTCAAGGCCTTCCGTACTAGGCTGAAGGGTCTAGGCTTGAATCTCTGGTAAGTGGGAAGCCCTTGTAGGTTTTAAAGGGCTTGGAATGTTAAAAAAATTAATCCAATATGACTGAGTTGGAGGAATGCTCAATAAAAATGCAATACAGGTTGAGATTGTTAGGGAAATGTCATAAATCATATCCCCTTGGAACTGGCTGATTGATAATTGGTCCTTACAACTGTTCCGTGATCACAAAATATAACTGTGTGCTTTAGGGTCACTGTTAGGTGATAAGACCAGAATGACTGAGTTATCAAGAGACATGAATGCATACATCAGGCCATCTCCTACCAGTGGGACTCTCGGAGGTGTGACAAGGACCACAAATGAAGCCATCCTGTTATGTGAAGGAGGGGGATATGACATCATTCTTATTGAAACTGTAGGTGAGTGTATTCTATTTCATAAAATATAAAATGGTATTATAATGGATACTATATAAAGATGAGTAACACCGTACCTTCGTTTTGTTCATTCAGCAGACTTACTAAAGGTGGCCCCATAGGAAATACTAGTTTATATTATATAGTTCCTAACATCAAAGAGCTTACCATGTAAAGGGTAAAAGTAAGCTGTGTGTCTGGATAACTGTTGCATAAAATGGTATTTTATATGTGGCAGAGTCTCAAGAGCAGTAAGCATTAGGATGAGCTATGTAAGCAAAGCACAGTGCCTATTTTGTGTAAGCACATTTCACATGTCTACAATATTTCCTACAAAAACTAAGGTGGTTGGGTATCCTTCGATTATGTAGCTATGCAGCAGTACCCTGGTTCACAGACTCAATTCTTTCCACAACTCTGGTCACAGGATTCATTCCATGATTGTGGTTGCAACTGAAATGCAAGGGTAACACTATATTTTATTCCATTTTTGGATCCTAAGCACTTAACTATATGCAATGAAGACACTGAAACAAACACCTCAAGAAATTCACATATTTGGGGAGAGGCAGTCTGTTATGCTACTGTGTGATAAATGTTTGTAATACAGCCTAACTCGACTGGCGGGAATTGGTGCAGATTTCATAGAGGAGGTGACAGCTGAACTCAGTTTTGAAGGAAGAATTCGTGTTGAAGTGTGAGATAAAGAGCGTTTGCCGAGACAGAAGAGTGAGAAAATGTGACTTACGGTGTAGGGCAGCTGGCGCCGGATTCGTAGAGCACGAGTGTGAGGGAGATGTTTGGAGCAGTAGCCAGGGACTGATCATCGAGGACTTTAGATACTGTGCCAAGGAGTTTAGATTGCTCTGAAAAGGGGGAGGATACAAAGAAGAGTAAGAGCAGATACGTGATTTGGAAATATCCCTGGCAACAGAAAATAGAGTGATTAGAAGAACAGCTAAATGCAGGGAAGCAGTTAGGAAATGTTGAATCGAAGGAAGAAACAGCGGGGCTCTGAACACAGCAGAGGAATGGGAATGGAGAAAATGAGAGTAAGTAAAAGAAAACATGAGGGGAAGTGGCAGGACTTCATCTTGGTTAGATATAAGAGACGAGGAATTAGCCAGGTGTGGTGGCCCATGCCTAGAATCCCAGAACTCTGGGAGGCTGAGATAGGAGGATTATGAGTTTGAGCCCAGCTGGGGCAACTCAGGGACTTAGCAAGACTCTGTTTAAATAAATAGATCAAAGGCTTGGGGTGTGGCTCAGTGTAAAGGCCTTGCATCCAATCTTCCATACAAAAAGGATGGTGGCTAGGGGTGGGGGTGGGGGGGGTTGAAGATAATAGATAATGCTATGGAAAGGGAAATTTGGAGAGGGGAAAATAATGAGTTCATATGGGACCATATTAAGTGTGAAGTGTTTATTATATGTCCACGTAATGGTGCGTCTTGAGAAAGAAATGAGAAGAAATTACAGATTTTATTTTTACCAACATAATATAGTTTGGTGCATCAAGAATTTGGTCCAGATAAACTGGGAAAAAATATGGGGCAAAAATGAGACATCGATAGCCACATTAGTTTGCTAGGAACAGCATAAGGTACTACAGACTGAGTGGCTTAAACTACAGAAATTTATTTTCTCATAGTTCTGAAAGTCCAGGATGAAGGTACCAGCAGGATTGCTTTCTTCTGAGGCCTCTTTCTTTGGTTTGCAGATGGCTGCCTCCTTGCCATGTGCTCACACAGACATTCCTCTATGCAGTGCTCCCTGGAGTCTCTTCCTCTTCTTAGAAGTCCCCAGTCCTATTAAATCCTTCCAGCATTATCTGATTCTTTAGGGGCCCTACCTCTAAATACAATCACAGGGAGGGTTAGGGTTTCAACAGAGGAACTGGGGAGGTGGGGGCAGGCATAATTCAGCCCCCAACAGTAGCCAGGACTTAGATTTAGAAACTTCACCATTTGTGTTTGGGTGGAGCAAGAGTTTCCTGAAGGAAAGTCACACAGTCAAAGGAGAAAGTAGTACAAAAATCCAGCATAGGGGCTGAGGGTGTAGCTCAGTGGTAGAACACTTGCCTAGACTGCTCAAGGCCTTGGGTTCCATACACAGCATGGCAACAAACAAAACAGTAGCAAAAACAGCCCAAGACATGTTACCTGGAAGTTACATTTAGCTATAAGAGAGGTTATTTTCTTGTAAATAAAATATTTCAAAACTGTTTTTGTCTGCTCTCCCTTCAACACACTTAGTTTCCATCCTCAAGGTTGCTCATGGTTAAAAGATAGCTGATGAAGCTGTAACAGAAACATCTCTGATTTACTAGACAAGATAGTGCCCACCTGTAATCCCAGTACTGGGGGCCTGAGGCAGGAGGATTGCCATGAGTTTGAGGCCAGCCTGGGGTACATAGTTCAGTGTCAACCTGAACTGCATAGCAAGACCCTATCTCAAAAAAAAAAAAAAATGAAAGAAAGGAAGGAAGAAAGGAAGGAAGGAAGATAGGAAGATAGGAAAATAGGTGTCTGTTCTAGGTAGAAGGAGTGGGGGCAGTAAGAAAGCAGGAAGGGGTAAGAGGAGAGTTGTACCTACCAGCTGGGTTGGCCTTCTTTAAAGAACACTCCTGGAAACCCCATCCACTGAGTTGCTTTCTCTCCTTACTCATTGCCAGCTAAAAGGGAACCTTGTGAGTATAGTCTTTCATCTGATACATGCGCACGCCCGTTAAGATAGGAGTAAGGAAATAGGGAAGATACTGCATGGGCAACCAGAAGCCTAGGAAGGAGAGCATCTCCGGAGCAGTTTCAATGGAGCAGGGGATGTGGAAACCAGATTTAAGTGGGTTGAAATTAATGTGAAGTGGACTGAGTGAGCATCAATTAGTTTTTTCCAGAAACTTGACTGTAAAGAGAAAGTGAGAAATATAGTGATGGTTGAAGAAACATGCGAGATGTTGTCTGGTTTGGCTTTAAGATGAGAAAGACTTGGACAGTTTGTACAGTTTGCTGAAGAACGAGAGCCTGGAGACAAAGGAGGAGTTAAAGACAAAAAACAAACGAGGGCCCAGGGGAGGAGGAAGGAGTGAAATTTTCATCTTTGGCAATCTTCTCACACCAAGGCTGTAGGATAGCCAGCGAGGTTGAGCTTGTATTGGTATCTATCTGCAGGTGCCAGGCAGACAGGCACAAGGCGAAGAAGTGCTTCCTTTGTTTCCTCTGTAGGTGCCACTGTTTATGTAGTTATCGTTAAGTGAGGAGATCATGGGCAGGTGAGTGTTTGTAATGGCTGCTGTGACAAATGGGAAAGGAAGCTACCTGAGGACATTTGAAGGGCTTGCTTTTACTAAGAAGCAAGGAAGATGTACCACATGCTGAAGGCCATGGCCCTTACGGGCATCTGTCCACGGTTGAGTGATTTCTGCAGCATGCATCAAGAGGGAGAATACATGTATTGGTCCATCATGCAGTTTGCAGGGTGGGATTAAGGATGGGAAAGGTAAAACAGACAAAAGTATTGGCAGGGGTAAATTCAGATTTCATTAGAGGGAAGCCAAGAAAGAGCTTTCGAAGTAAGGAGAGAAAGGAGGTCTCTCAGATATCCATTCAGTCCAAGAATAGGCCTAGTGGTGAAAAGGGAAGGGAGAACAACTGGTTTACTTAGAGGTGAGATAGTGGCATTCAGTAAATTCTTCAGAGGAGGGGTATTTTGGTTTAAATATATCTCCCAAAAGTTCGTATGTTGGAAAATTAATCACCAAATTCCTTTGTTAATAACATTTGGAGATGGGGCCTTTGCAAGGTAATTGGGATGAGATAATGAAAGTGGGACCCTCATGAGTGGCCTTTTTTTTTTTTTTTTTTTTTTTTTTTTTT